GGCGATGAGCTTCATCGTAGTTTTTTCACCAATACGGACAACAAACACTCCGATGCGCGAAGACTTAATTTCGCAAGAAATAATTCTACTCGTTGCCGTTGGTCGTACAATGAATCCAACACAGAAATAGCACACATTCTTTAAATAAGCAATGGGCACTAACAGGAGGCATGCAGCCCAAGATCGGAGGGCTCGGCATAGCTGCGCCCAGCGTGTGGAAGCATTTCAGCAATATCGCTAACATGGAATACTTATATTGGCTGCTGTAACGGTCTCGGAATACGAGCTGCTGAATTTGAAAAGATAATGATTTTTGTAATGAACTTCTAAGTTTAGAGGCACCAACAATCGAAGCACCCAATATTTTACGCCGAGTGCAGGTTAACGTTGGTCGTACAGCAGTCATCAGTTGTCCAGCATTTGGAAGTCCCGAACCATCCATTTCGTGGCTTAAGAACGGACAACCACTGATCACGGACAATCGGCATGCCCTTTTGAATGGTGGACGACAGCTAGAAATCAGTGATACTTCCGCTGACGACGATGCTAGGTTATAAGCGGTTTCTCGTGCTCAGAGTGCTTTGAGTGCCATTAAATGTATCAGTGAAACAAAAAGACATGGAATAGCCGTGCCGGGCATGTGAGAGCATCCCAGTAATATCACTAAAATGTGATACCCACAATGATTGTTTGGGAGATCTTGGTGTACTTCGAGGTCATCAGATAGCCAGACCTAATTTTTTAAATTCTACTCATATATTTCTGGGGATGTTGTGAATTAGCGTATAAAATTTTTATAGTTAAAAATTTTTAAAAAGATTGTGAGAAATTTTCCGTTAAATTGTTCCCGTTTTGAACAGCAGTTAGAAAATAGCTTAGCTGCTTAATTACTGTTTCGGATGGGCTCCTTGTAAACGAAACACCTATTGTCCAAACATATACTCATGTAGGCTCAAAAAAATATGCAAAAAATGTAATTGTATGATGTTGCAGCTGGCATCATTTCCGGTTGATTTGGCGAACGCTTCATTGCCTGTTGATCTGGTTACTGGCAATCCTGGCTTTCATTCCGATTAGCAACTCAGCTTCATCCCTGGACAGATTAGCAACTCAGCTTCATCCCAGATTGTAGCACTTAGCAGCTACTTCATCCCTTCTAGGTCACGATAGGGTAGATTGTTGTCTGAGATGTTTGAATCGCGACAACGTGGCCAGCATTTATTATCATTTGCAGACATAACTTGTCAACTTTTGGTTTAAATCAGACTTGAAAAATTCAGATACACATGCATTGCAACAAACGACATTGGCTTGGCCGATTTGGAAACTTATCTTCAAGTTGTTGGTAAGCATTTTTGACATGAACTGTTAGAAACATAGTACATGGTCTTTGACAACCTAAACTTGGTACTAATGCCTTTACGTTTTGATTTCTAGCATACCTCATTAATACTTAGTACAGATCTAATTCATGCTGGAGTTCTCGGGCTGTGCAGCTAGCATTTTTCCGATTACTTTGATCAGTACTGTCTGTTGGTCAGTTTACCGGCAGCCTTGACGTTTGTTTCGTCTCCTGATGAAACTATTAGCTTAACAGTTCTTCCGGCAAAAGCACTTGGCAAGGGTGCAACAAGCGAATAATTTTTGTGTGAAATTAGCAGTATATTTGGAAGAAGGAGGCGTTATGTAAGAGTTACAGGTGCACCGGTGATATCGGGTGGAAAACAAGAAATGATAGAAGTGCTTGTGAATGAGCCAAAAGATTTGATTTGCGATGCTTCCGGAACGGAGCCGATTGAAATTGAATGGCTACGGGACGGAAAAGCAATCGAGTTCGGCGGGGGTCCACGTTCTGCAACCAGCTATTTGCAGGTGTTTCTTGAATCCTATGTTTGAACTTTATCTCGTGTTGTAGCAGTATTATTAATTGTTGGGTAAAGTTAACTAAAGTATAAATTCTTGTATTAAAATGCTATTCAAAGTTAGAGTGCACAGCACTGTAAGGGGTAGTGCTGCTATCGTATTGAAGGTCGAGGTTTCAAATCCGTCTTGGAACAATCAGTCCCTGTATGAATTGTGCATTTATTTCAATAGTAAATTGATGGTGGTATATCCAAAGTTCAGCTTGTTTCTAAGCAATCCTCAAAAGACGAAACTATCGAAGGCCTTGCCAACCACTGGACGATGTTGTTCTGCTTTGCCCACTTAAAATTAAGCCACACAAATTCCTCTGTTTGGCTTTTATAAAATGTCAGAAAGCCAAAGAACAAAATCCCCTCCGCATCTGTTTATTTATTTTTGGCCGTTGCTGTTTAAAACAAACTCATCGAGCTTCATTTTCGGCGCATTTGTTGCAGGTTTCCTCACGTGGACGAATCTTGCATATTTTGTCGGCGCAAGTTACGGATTCTGCTCGTTACACGTGCATTGCTCAGAACTCTGCTGGTGACGCAAAAAAAATTTACGATCTCGCTGTGCTTGGTAGGCGTTTTCAAATGTTGTGACTTTACCTTCGGAATGTTGCTTTGGAAGTTTGATTATTTTAAACTTACCCGAAAACTGTCAGACCAGAGCCGAAAGTGTGAACCCTTTGCTTTTTAAGAAAAACTGGGACAGTAAGAAGTGGTTCATAACACTTTCTAGCAGTAATCACCCGTTGGCTCATTTCGATGGTTTCTTACAATCGACCTGGTAGCGACTTTGGTTTGTACTACCAGTTTACCATCGAAACGAATGGACGAATCGCAGAGACAGACGGACTGTCTTCTTTCAGCAGCTCTCCATGACTTTTTCTAAATTTCACTCGAAAAGAACTATTCTTGCGTCATATTTGTTTATTCAATTTTTAATTCCGGCTACGAATGTTTATAGTTCCGCCAACGATCAACGAGACATCCTCATCGCCTCCGCTGCAAACCATCATTCCTGGCACTGGTTTTGCTGTGGAATGTAATGTTTACGCTATTCCTGATGCACAGGTTTGTATTTTGCATTTGAAGACAGAAAAATGTTGATTTATTTTCCGTTTTTTCGATCTCGCTGGTTTAGCTAAGCAATATCGTAAAACAATGGGGAGCCGGACCGCCAAGTCACTAGATGGATGTTTTCTCTAAACTTAATTACTTGAGCAAGAGCTGTGTTTTCTTTATTTCATCCGAGAAGTTTCAGTTCACTTGCTTTTATTTGACAAAAAATAATTAGTAAGTGTTGCCCGCGGAAAAGTAAACAACCAGTCGGCTGAAATTCTGTGGGACACATAAATCAAATGACCGGTAGGTGTGGTCTGGAGATATATAGCCTAGGATCGAGGGGCCTGACATTGCTACATTTGATGTGTTAGAGCATCCTACCGGAACCAGTAATTTCAGCCTGTCTTGGTATTCCTAGTAATAACCCAGGCTGGAATTCACTAAGCTCTCCTGTGCGATCTGCTTTTTGCACTAAACTCGCAGATCGCTATTAGCAGGAATGATCCCTACGCTGTAGCCTAACACTTGG